ACACACACACACACACACACACACACACACACACACACAAATGTGCACATGCACAGTGCCGCTCTCTGCATCACCAGCGAGTGTAATGCATCATGTTGGGTAGGATGGTAAATTAACACTGCAGCGAAGGCAATGATTAGGAAACACTCTGGAGGCAGGCGTGCAAGATTACGAGATTATTAGGTCTGTGTGTTCGTGTGTGTTTGTGTTATGAAGAGAGTTGCAGTCGGGAATGAAAAAGCTTTGAGTCAGTCTTTGCAGCTTGGGGCTTCATAGTGTCGTGTTAGATAACTTGCACAGGAGCAGTGAGGTGCATCAGACTGACAGAGTGGCCCTGATGAGACTGTACCATGGCTCCTTCAGCTTGATCAAGGTTATCAAAACTACAACATCTTCCATAAGTCACAAAGTCAGAGTATAAGTGATCAATTATTCATGTCAATGGTTACGCTCAGAAAGCAGATCGAAGTCACATCTGCTCATGCAAGGAGAGGCAAATATACTTCTAACTCACATATACATCTAAAACCTATGTTTTCCAGTCTTCCTCTCACAGGGGACAAAGACAGTGTCACTGCAGACCAGTTCTTCATAGAGGTGCAATGGTTTCATATTCACCCTTGCAGCCAGGAAAAGGGAAAGAAAGGAACATTTAAATGGAAAAAAAAAACAAAAAACAAAATTGCTTTTAACTGTTTTAGACTGTCGGCTAAAGACTGCATTCCCTGGGTTTACCTCATTTTAGTTTTTTTGTATTTATTTTCATTATTATGTGTTTTTCTCTTTTGTGTTTTTTCATTTGTGAAGCTCTTCCACAATTTTCTATAGTAATAAAAATGATAATATTATCATAATTATTATAAGCTATAAGACTTTGGTCCTGTCTGATGTGGCAATACATGTGGTTACCGTGGTAGCAGCAAGTCTAATAAATACTACAGGCATAGAGAATTGTTTGCTGAAAGCTGAAAAAACAGTGAGGCTGCTGGCATCAATGAGACAAAATTACAGTGGATTCCAGTCATACTGTACAATGTTTCTGTAACGTGTACATATATTATTCAGAATCATACTGTTTGCCTCCAGCGCATAGGGTTGAAAACCTTTACCTTTTGCTTTAAGTATACCCTAGACTTGAGCATGTGATGCAGAACTAACTTTCTATTGCTTCTCATGCTCCCCTCCTCTGCTTTCCATGACTCTTGATCTCCTCCTTCTCTTCTCTGAAGATCTCCCCTCACTCTCCAGACTGGCCTGCTTCACACACAGCAGCGGACCAGCACCACTCCACCCCCACCCACCAAGCTTCCTGCACTTACCCCGGGATCGGACCCACAACTGGCACCACATCAACCTCCACCGGGGCCTCCATGGTAACCCCGGCTGATCCTCCCACCATCACCACCCTGACTACACCTGCATTCTCTGCCAACACAGCCCCACAGCAACAGTAGCCAGTAGATCTGGAGGTTTTAAGAGATGAAATAGAGAGAGAGATAAGGAGGGACAACATAGCATGAGTCTAAAGACGCATCAGTGTAGCATCAGCCGATGAAAAATGGAAAACACTGATGCTCTTTCCCAGTAACTATGTATATTTCCTTACAAAATCATGCACACTCATTCTAAATGCATTGCAACATTGATGGTCCATGTCAGTAAAAGGACATCATGAATATGTTTTCATGCCTTGATATGTACATGCACCTGCCCCCAGCTGTTTATCAAGCTCCAGGTTACTTTGCGCCCATCCTTCTGACATAAGTGCCTTTTCAGCCACTCTTAGCAATCACCACAGCTCCTAAATGGACGCAAACCTTCTCACCCTCCTCCCCTCTCTTCCTGATAGGCTATCATGAAACATGTAAGAATGTATTTTTACTTTTAACGACAAAAATTCCATGGAAGATAGATTTAAAGGCAGTGGGGTTATTTTCAGATTAAAATCCTTTTCCAACAAGAGCTTTAACTAAACATCTTAGCACATTTGTCTGTTTCTTACGCCTACTCACAGCTTAGTTCTTTTCATAGGTAAACAGTGAGGAATGATCTTGACTTGTGTACATCTTTGTGAAATTGTTTCTGTATGGTGTTTGTATTTTAAAAATAGCTTGCTTGCTCTTAATCAGCTTGTCGTTGCCTGCTCAGTGTCTTTTAAACACGTAGGCCATTCACAACACAACACCTCAGACCTCTTTGTGTTAGGCCTCTTTCTTTGTGTCTTTATATACTGTACGTGTGTGTGTGTGTGTGAGAGAGAGAGAGAGAGTGTACATTTGTGGCTGTTTTGCACATATGTTAATTTATTTTCTCTGTGCGGCTCTGATGCTGGTAATAACAGGGTTCACAGCAGCATATGCTGTAATGATATTATATGATCACCTTGTTGACTGTACAGTGGAGGCTAGTTATGACCAGCCTGGCAACTCATTGCCTCAGCGGGCACAGCCTCTGTCAGCTTTGCCACTTGAACTGTATGTATTGCAGCCAGTGACTGTGTATTAAGAAGGACGACACTTCTCAACTCCCTCACACTGTACAAAAATGAAGCCAAAATCTCTTGGATAAAAGGTGCTGCCATCTTGTGCTGGTGGTGCATTTGGAGCCAGAGTGTGCATAGTAGAAAAATGTGGAGTGAATCCCCAGTAACAGAGTATCAAAGTCCTGCTGACACACCTGCCCAACCAATCGTGAGTCAAGCTCACCTGTCAATCATGATGTCTCACTCGATGTCAATGTCATGAAATAACTCATTAAGAAACAGTAAAATGAACACTTACACTTACTTACTTACATCAGAGTGATAGACACTACTTATAAGGACAGAGACCATGTTTGTAAAAATATTTTTGGAGTGTGACTTGGATTCATTTTGTTTGGCCCATGTCCCATTTGCTACCATTAAAGGGGTGATATACAGCAGCCATCAGTATAGTCGTGGCTTCACTTTTGTCATTTTGTCATGTCATTAATTGAAACCCTGTCCACCCTTAAGATAAGGATTATTTGGGGTTTATTGAGTAGATGCCCAGTAAAATCTTTAGATCTCTTTCTGCCATTGTGACTGACGCAGGCAACTATCGCAGCAGTATTTCTGATTTGTGCTATGTCATTATTTAAAGCTTGGGTTGGAGATCCTGTAAAAGCAAGTGCAGGCTACACAATAAAATGAAACTGATAGTTCCCGCCTGTGGCCTCTCGTCAAAGGAACGTCCCCCAAAATCACATGAACGCGCATTGACTGACAACTGCTATCCTCACTGGCTTACTTCTGGTTATTTTCTTCTGCTTCAGTGGTGTATGTCTCTTTGGCTTGTGACGACAGTGAGAGCACAGGGAGGCAGGTCGGTTAGTGACAGACAAGTAAGCCAGCCAATCATTTCATTCAGTGTAAATGATATTTGGTCGTGTTTATTACAGTCCTGCGAGGACCCCAGCATTTAGCTTTTCCCCAAATGACGATTTATTGATGGCTATAAGGATGTGAAGAGGATTTCAACAAGTAACATAAAAAGTGTTGTAGAAACAAATTACCAAGCCTAAGGTTCTTCATTTGTGGTACAGTAAGCACTTCTTATCTGATATTTTTCTATGTTGATGTATTGTTGTATTATTGTTAACGTAGAGAGTTTCTATTTTTTGGTGTCCATATTATCACAAACTAATTAATTCCTTTTCAAAGCCAGTCATCGTGATATTGTGAAGTAAAAAGGGATAGTTCACTGAAAAATAAAAATTCATTCATCACTCATTCATTCAACATAACATGCCTCCATACTGCTTGTGTGGTGTCATCCAAGTGTGCGCAAGCCCCACAATTTTATATTTGGCTCCAAACAAGGTAATTTACACCATGATTTAAGTCTAAATGTCCACTGATATCTTCCTACGAGGTGCAGTCACAGACTGTCGGGCGTGCTTACGTCTCCTAGCTCAGCCACTTCCGGTGGACTTTTAGGCTAAAGACAAGGCGTAAATTACCTTGTTTCATTTCAAATATGAATGTCATGGCTTGCGGACACCTGGATGACACCACACCAGCAGTATGGAGGCATGTTATGTTTTTTCTGTTGTTTTATTACGTCTGAAGTCGCAGTCACCAGTTTCTTCAATTGTATTGGATTCTGCTACTACAAAGTTTATTTCTGAAACTCCAAAAGTGTTTTGTGGACTCAAACACTTCACCCACCCCTCCATTGTCATAGTGGTGAGTAGATAATGAGTGAAGTTTCATTTTTGGGTAAACTATCCCTTTAAAGCTGGTTAATTGTTGTACAATTTAAGAACATTTCAATGATGGATGGATATGTTTTACTGCCACTTATCTGTGTAACAAAAAAAACCTATCATTAACACGCAGCAGCTGATTAAGGTTAATATAATGAGTGAAGGCAACAATGGATGATGATGATGACCTAAAAAATCAATGCTGTTATTACGTGTAAATACAGAGCCCATGCTGCATATATTACCACATGATAAAAGTTGTTCAGATGCTTCAGTGCTGTATGTTTGTTGGAATAAAAAGGTGAGATCATCAACCCAACATTTCTGCTTGCTGTTGTCACACAAACACACCCCGACACCTGCAAATCTGCACTTTTAAGCCAGGCAATGAAGCAGACAGCACCAGCTCTGTAACCTCAGAGAGGAATTCCTCCTCCTAGCTGTGGTCAGATGCAGCCCTCATGCTCATATTCATCAAGACACATCTGGTGTGCAGGCTGGAAGACCTGAAAACACGCTACATGTCTGACACAGTCTACACAGAAATCACAAACCGTGTGATTACATAACCTCACGTCTCTAACCAGCATGTCAACAATCCTGTCACGTCTTCTCGGCTATATGAGGCAGAAGATAGGAATTAGATTAAAGTTCATGTGTGTGACACGTACAATGAGAGGAAAACTATTGAATCTCACAAATGTACGCACACTATAGCTTATTATAGACACAGAAAAACACACCATAAACGTTCTGTTTGAAAAAATACATAGACAAAAGCATTACGTACACTAAAAATACAATATACCGACACTTTGCTCATCCTCTCCCACCCACACCCCCACGCTTTTTCAGCTACTGGAAAAGCAAATTAATAGACAGGTTGTTTTGGAAATCATTTTAAATGAGATGTTTGCACATCTGCACCTGCACCCTGATAAAGAAGAGTGTCTGTGTGTTAATATCCAACAAGTGAGACCTATACAGATAAACACATCTGCAAACATCAAGCCTCAACCTTAAGTTATGTATATAATAGCAGCTTGTGGATTCAATACAAATGACTTTAACCATAGCCTGTATAAAAACACAGACGACTCGTCTCTACTTTCTCACACTGTTTAGACATGAAAATAAAATATCTTGGATACAAAGGCCACCATCTTTCACATTTGGAGGCAGTGATCAGGGGATGGAGCTGCGGTAAGAAGGTCCTGCTGATACATACGCTCGACCAATCATGGGTCAGCCTTAACTGTCACACCATCATGAGCATGGCATCAAATAATTAGACTTTAGACAAAATTTTGACCTTTTAGTCCATGTCTTCACTAACTTGGAGGCCAGATTTATAACCTGAGTCACCAGGTTTCGATTGAGACACTTTGCTTCACGTTTTGGGAGCAGTCATGTCGTCCGTCTTTAGGTACAGTATGACCTTAAAGTCTGACTTTAAAGTTAGTTTTGCTTCTTTGCTTATGACATTACTACAGAGGAGAAAGCAGATCCAAAGTACATGAAGTCTAGAAGTTGTGATATTAAAATGTATTCGGCTGTAAGTTCGTCTTCACCACCCACAGACTGTGTTGTCAGAGGTAAGCGCTGGGTTCAAGCAGCTGTATGATTGTCAGGATTCAGGATATAGCGGAAACTTCCTCCCACATCACGACAGGGAGAAAGCATTAGACAGCTGCTCCTCAGCTGGAGAGTGTGTCTCACTGCTTTCATGTCATGTAGTGTGATGAGCCTGACTGTTATATAACTTACTCACTAGTAAAATGTCCTTGTGTCTCCGTTTTACAACCTGATAAACTCTTGCTACAAGTTAAAGTTAAAACATGGTGTTAAACTCTTCAGAATTTGTCTTTTGTCCATACATCGTCACCAAGGACGGAGAAAATAAATGCAGTTCTTACAGTATAAAAAATATCAAGATCTTCATCTTTCACACCAATCTAGAAAGCTCTGTGTCATGTTTGTTGACTAGATAGAGATAGATAGATAGATAGATAGACAGATACTTTATTGATCCTGAAGGAAATTCAAGATGTCTTTATTTTTAGTTATCCTAAATTCTCTCCCTGTCTTCCCACCTTACACAGTACAACATAAGAAGAACCAGACCACACTTGACTCTCTATGCCACCCAGCTCTTGGTACAGACCATGGTTATCTTCCTTCATGCTCAATATAAACTTTTCAGATGATCCAGAATGCCACATCACTT